TCTCCTCCTCCTCCTCCTCTTTCTCCTCCTCCTCCTCCTCTTCTTTCTTCTTCTTTAAAAAAAGAGGGTAAACTGTTATGGTCAGTTTAGTGTACAACAGATGGAGAACGGCCTTCAGCAATGCGCAAAGGGTGTGTTTATGTGTTTAGGCAGTGATCCTTGTTATGATAATATAGGTATTAAATGTACTCAAGAGAATCTGTATTTTCATCTGTGAAGCATTGGAGAATATGTGAGGAGCCTATGCGGTACCTTTGCTGGTTTCTTCTAAATACAAGCTCAGCACTTTTAACATCACACATCACTTCACTGTGCTGCAGGGCACCAATATTGGGAGTTCAGTTAGAAGAGTTTGTAATGCAATGATTTTTTTTTCTCCTAGCAAAGTGAGTTTTCTCCTGTTCTAAGGGAGAAGAAAAATCAAATCCTGAGATTTGAGACCTGTGCTGAATACAAAGCACAAGAAACAAAGACAAGTCCGTGCTCTTTTTCTGCGCATTAAAGCTTTTCAGAAATGTTGAGTTATGTTATGTGAACATTTCATCTCAAACGTCTTACTGTGTTTTCTGGAGTGCAAAATCATCATTCTTCAGCTGGTTGAGTATCTTTTTGGAAGTGAAACAAGGCACTTCAAAATTTGAGTGGTATTGCTAGATAACTGTAGGTTTTGAAAACCATAACTTCTTTTTTTAAAAAAATTTCTTCGCCCTCCATTTGCCAATAGTTGTCAAATGCTCTAAATTGGGAACCATACTTGGGCTAACTAGATTCTAGTAATATAATAAGAATCTGTGATCCTTTCAGACTCATTGCCTCACTTGTTCTTTGTTGTGCTTTGAATTACAATCTGAGGTCAAGGACCAAGATAAAAAGGACAAGAGACCAAGACAAATTTAAATGAATAAATAACCAGCCAACCTGTTGACAAGCTCTGCCCTATTCCAAACAAAATCACTTAAAAGTCTGAGACCATAGAAGGAAACAGAAACTTGCCATTTGTCTTACCACATTTTTTATCTAGCGAGTGTGTTATGGTTAACTCAGACCAGTGGTAGCTTTCTGTTATGGTAGATGGTTATCATAATTTGTACCTTTCGGACACAAGGCTATTCCTTCTTTAACTCTGGATGGGTGGCACTACCCAATAAAACTGCTATGCAATCTGGGGGGCAACCTTCTAGACTCACAGCTCCTGCTTGAAGGGTAGGTGGCATTTGTGGAGAGCCTTTGCACACTTTCAGGTACTGCACCAGTTGGCCCCATTCTTTGATCGGGAGGCCCAACTCACTGTCACCCATGACCTTGTAACCTCCTGCTTAAGATTACTGCAATGTGTGTTCAACATGGGGCCTCTCTTGAAACTTAGTAATAATTACTACCAATAGTAATTGCAATAGCAATAGCACTTAGACTTATACACTGCTTCACATGCTTTACAGCATTCTCTAAGCGGTTTATAGAGTCAGCATATTGCCCCCAACAATCTGGGTCCTCATTTTACCAATGTCAGAAGGATGGAAAGGTGAGTCAACCTTGAGTCAGTCAAGAGTGAACTCCTGGCTGTGGGCAGAGTTAGCCTGCAATGCTGCATTATAACCACTGTGCCATCATAATACGCAAAGGTATGCATGCAGTTGCACAGGTAATAAATGGTCCAGCTACACAGCACATATAACATCACTACTATGTAAGCTGCACTGGTTGCCGTTATGCTTCAAGGTACAATTCAAGGTGTTGGTTGTCACCCTTAAAGCCCTACATGGTTTGGGATGAGGTTACTTGAGGGACCTTTCCCCCCCCCCCAAGATTTTCTATCCATCCATCTTGATCCAACAAAATGGGCATGTTTGCAGATCCCATTAGCCACAGAGTATCAACTGGCAGGAACTAGAAAAGCTTTCTTTGCTGTAGCCCCTGACTTAGATTATACTCTCCCCTTGGAGATTAAAATGGATCCAATCCTATTGGCCTTTCACAAGGCTTTAAAAACTTGACTGTGTACTCAGGCCTGGAGCTCAGAATGTGTTAAGGGCCTACTTTCTTGGCTTTGCTGTTAGTCGGTTAATCTTCATGGCTGCTGTTTGTATTTATTTATTTTGTGAATGCTTTTATTGTTTCAATGCTTTTAAATTACTTTAGTTGTTTCAGAATTTTAGCATGCTAAATCCCCCCAGAGTCACTTGGCTGAACTGGGTGGCTGTACAAATTGAATAAACAAATAAATAATAAGCATCAATTTCTGCTTGTCTCCTGGCAAAAATAGCTAAGGAAGGATTTCCACTGTTCTGATCTTCTACAATCCTCCAGTTATCACTGTTAAAACAGCAGCAATGAAGAGGAGCTGTATATCATCTCCACTGAAAGCCATTAAAAGCCACTATCAGGAATTGTTACTTCATTTTGCAATTTAGGCTCTTTGGTGCTCCAAGAAGAAGCATTCTTTTAGGGCAGGAAAGAAAAACTTGATTTGGATATACTATGTATCCTGGCATCTTAGAAGTATAAATCTGAAGGCACTTTGGGGCATTCAGAGAAGAGAATTAAGAATTTAGTTTGTGCCCCTCTCCCCCTGGGTCTATTACTCCATCTGCTCCTTGTTTTATGAGATTGATAATCTCAGTTTCTTTCCTTCTGTCTTGTTCTCAGGCACACAAAAGAGAATATGGACTCTTCTAGTAGTACAACGTTAGAGCGGAGCGATCTTTTCCCATTCATATAACGTAGCACCTTATTAGCCTTTCTCTTATAGTTATAAAATTTGCTTCATTAACTTTTGCACCCGTTAGATACCTCATCTCAGGGGAGCTAGTAAGTACAGGTAGTCCTTGACTTACAACAGTTCATTTAGTTACTGAAAAATGTGATTTATGGTTGTTTTTCAGTTATGACTTTTGCAGCATCCCCTTGATCATGTGATCAAAATTCAGATGCTTGCCAACTTCTTCATATTTATGACCATTGCTGTGTCCCAATGTGTCATATGATCCTCTTTTGAAACCTTCTGACAAACAAAGTTAATGGGGAAGCCAGATTCATTTAACAACCAGGTCAATTGTAGTGATTCACTTAACAACTATGGCAGGAAAGGTTGTAAAATGGAAAAAAACTCACTTAACAAATGTCTCACTTAGACTACAGAAATTTGGGGTTCAATTGTGATCATAAGTCAAGGAGTACCTGGACGTACAAAATGTCCTTTACAATTTTTCATTTAATTACATCTATACGGCAATACATTCCTGCTATTATGCAACCATAAAGGCACTTCAAACTTTTTTTATGAATTTGTCTTTATTTCTGTAATTTAATTTGTGAAAACTTGGCTTAAGATCATTGCTCAAAGTTCCTTAGTTTTATATCCACATGTAACTGGAATGCCTGCTTTAAAATGCTATTGGAAATATTATGAAGGTTTCTAAAAGCCACATGCTTGTCTTTAAACAAGACCCACCACACAAACATATATATTTTTGAGTGCTATGTAACATATATGTGATATTACACTTCTACAATAAACAACAGATCAAAACTGATTGGGGGAGTACAAAACGGAGTGAGCAGTGGCACACTCAGTGAGGGAATTTGTATTCTAAACTTATAAGCCATTAGAAATAGATCTTTGTACTAAAAGAATATGCCAAACTTCCTTTGTGGTGCCTCTAATGCTTCGTAATAAGATATCAATTTCTACATCCTCAAAAATTATGATTTCTTCTATAGGTTGAAATCTGAAGTAATGATGCAATCACAGGAAACCACAGGTCTTTATTTATCTACTGTTGTTTCTGTTCTGACCTAGGCATCTTGAGACAGTAAAAAGCATATCCTTAGTCCCCAAATCCTCTTTTTATTTCAAATTGGCAATTGGGTTTGCAAGGCCACATAGAGGACAG